GATCGATCATCCCTGTACTTTTATTGGACAGATCGGTCCTGAGTCACAAATTTCAAATTTGGAAGTTTGTACTACCATGATTGTCCACCATGCTGCTACCCTATATATAAATATAAAATTAGTATAACATGTAAATCAAAACAATCTAACCTTTACAAAAAGTAAAATTTTTAATTAAGTTTAAATTAAAGTTGGGGTTAAAGTTAGGCAAGGTATAGGTTATACTAAAATTTTGCAAAAAATTTTTTTTATTAGAACACAAAAGATAGTTTTTAAGTAAAATTTTAAAATATAATTAATTTTTAAAAAATTTATTATTTTTGTTATACAAAGAGGTGATCTGCATATTACACCTGATCTTAAATTTTAATTAGTCACAATACTCTAGCACCATAGTGCTATAGCACTATAAAATAAATCTCTAATAAATTAAATAATAGATATTATATATTAAGCAAGTAAAGAAAATATATAAAATAATGCTAAAAATTAGAAAAAAAAAATATTTATTAGTAAAATGCAGAGTTGGGCAAAATATATATTCAATGATTTTTTATTAGACATTGGACATTTTCAAATTGTCCTATATAATTTCCAAAGTCCAATATGGCACAGCTTTAGTTGGAATTAAACATAATCTGGAAATGCTATATAGGACAATTAGGACAATTATCTATTGTCCAATAGATGTCCAATAATAATTTATATTAATTATAGTTTAGTTACTAACAAAAATATTAAATAATCAAATTGGGTTCTTTCATAGCAAAACTATGCTTAGAATATATATTTTTTATATACTTTAAGCATAAATTTGTTATAAAAAAAAATCTAATTGTTATTTAAATCAGTTTAAGTAAAATTATATAATTTCTTAGTTTTAAATTCTAATCACTTTATTAGCTAAATAATATTATAAATAAATATAATAAGCAATCACTTGTAATTATCTATTTCTGAAGGCTATTTTGGGCTGATTTTAAAGGCTAAAAAACATGATCGATCAAAAGACTGGTTCTAATTCGATTTTTTTAAAACAAATTTATTTCTGTTTCTATTCTATTGGTATACCTTATACTAAAGATTGGTCAGACCAAAGCTAATTTAATTCATTTTGAACTTTTTAATGTCTAAATTCTAATATGATCATGTAGGTTTAAACTAGCTTTAAATTATTTAAAATAACCTTTATTTTTTTTTAATGTAATAAGTATAAACTTGGATTTACCTAATATGCTATTATAAAAAACAAATGAAGATTAAAAAAAGTAATATATATGATAAAAATACCCTGATCTATTGGATACTAGCATTTTCACTATATAGATCAGGGTATTTTTACTAATATCTCATGATCTTGATATAGTTGTCGGCGTATTTTCAAAAAAAAAAATACTTAGGTTTTAAAATACTCTGATTAGTCAACTTTCATTATTAGCCAAGTCATGAATTTTACCCATAATAGTATATGTACATTTCAGTATTTATTTATCCATATTTAGTTTAATTCTTTTTATTAATGTATTATTCAAAAATAGAAATCGCTCGTGGCTTATATATTAAAGAAAATATGTGAAAAGATGAATCGAGATTAAATTAATTCAAAGCCAAAAAGACTCATATAAGATAAAAATACTCTAAAGCCCCTATATACATACCACTACTGATAATATGATCTAAGAAAAATGTATGTGATATTGCAATGGGCTAATCTAATAAAGTAAGATAATTAGATTCTAGTTGATAGAAACAAAAAATAAGAAAGCAATAAAACTAAAATAGATAAATCTTGAGTGGGGCTGCATTTAACAATAAGAAAAAAACCAAATCTATTCTCAAGATAGGCAAGATTCTGAACGAGGCTTTGTAATACTCGTAAAAAAAAGTTTTAGAAGCCAATTCAAAGTCAATTCAAAGCTAATTCGAAGCCAATTCAAATCTAATTTGAATATAAAAAAAAAAAAAAAAGGAAATTAAAGACTTGATGGCTTATAAAATCAGATCAAGAAAATAGATTAGATTGATAGAAGTGTTTTATTCATGGTTTTAAAAACTATAAAAGTAGTAAAATAACTTATCTTTAATATTGATTCAATAAAGTTCTTTAATACTCAAGTTCCCTAAAATCTTATTATTAAATCTCTATACAATATTGTATTTTGTTTGGTTAATTTTATATCATCCAAGTCATGCATCTTAAGTACCTTCTTTTCAATATAAGATTGCTAGCAACAGATTTATTGTTAATACTAACTTTAAAATCAAATACCAGTAACGTAGTGATTATTATACTTTTGCCTAACTCTTAATTAAATTCATTTAACACTTTAATTATAGTAGATATTATGCAACGTAAAAGAGGAAAACCACCACATTCGTTTATCGAATACTTTTATATTCTACCCAATGAGTAGGCAAATAAAAGTAATCAAAAATGTATCTGTCATGCCTGCATAGATGTAGTAGGAAAAGAAATTACTTTACAAGATAATAGTATAAAACTTACAAATACCAAACATTATTGTTATAATCATCTTAAAGATTGCCCTTATTTTGCAGCAAAGTATCTATCTGAACAAATAAAAAATATACTCAGCTCAGTTGTGCCTTCAACATCAAAAAACCAAGCAATAATATCTTTTACAGATGATGATAACGATGACAATGAAAATGATTCACTAACCTGCTCCTCTACTTTATTATTAGTTTCAAAAAAACAGACAACATTATCTCAATATATTGGCCATCCACTTAATGCATCTGAAGTTTCCAAATTTGAACGTCTTTTACTTCAGGCTACAATCTTAGCTGAATTTACATTTTGCTAGGTTGAAAACCCTGAAGTTAAAACATTATTTAGTTTTATTTCTCCACACCTAAAATTACCTGACCGAAAAATGCTTAGTAATCATATTTTAATGAGTGCAACAAATGAAGTTCAAACAACAATTAAAGAGCTTGCCTGCTAGGATAAAATCGGAATCACAATTGCCTTTGATGGTGGTGTAATGTTGTGAATCAAAAATTAATAGGCATAGTTTTTATCACATCTTCAGGAGAAACTTTAATCTGGAGAGCAAATGATATTAGTATTGAGAGACAACAGCAGGAAGAAGTAATTGCTCAAATTCGTATACTTTTTGAAGAGACAAAAGAATTAAATATTAGAGCAAATTGTATTGTAACAGATTTAGCTAGATCATATGCTGTGGCTTGTCATTTTTTGAGACATGAAATGCGAGACAAAGTGTTTATTCTTTGTTTTGCACATTAAGTAAATTGTTGTGTTGGGAATATATTTGTAGAATTTAAAAATGCAAGCAAATGTGCACTTCATATTATTAATTTTTTTCACTATTCAGTATATTTTACTGCTAAACTTCGTGATGAACAAATGAATGTTTTAAAAAAATATGTTAATTTGATTACACCAAGTATAACAAGATAGAATAGTTATTTTGAATGCTTCGATAGCATTCTTAAAAACAAGCATCCATTAAAAGTAAGTTGTTTATTACAATTTCAAACTAAAAATTTTAAAATTGTAATATATTTTTTCTTTTAGACTCTTGTAACCAAAGATAATGTGGCCTTAGATGATGAATTAAAGCTTCCGGCCGATATTAAAGCTGCTATTAATCATGATTCTTTTTGGAACTCTCTTGTAACATTACATGATATGCTTCATCCTTTTTGTAAAGTGCTTGATATTATGCAACGCGATAAAGCTTGTCTTCATAATGTTTTACATACCTTTGGTTATTTTATGCAAATATTCAAGGAGCTTGAAGTATCATCATTTCAAAATAAGATGATTACAAGACTTGAAAAGAGGTGGGCTATGTAGGAGCAACCATTACTTCTTCTTTCATTTGTTCTTCATCCTTTGTACTGACTTAATTATTTTAATCAATCACAATTATATATTAATTATACTCACATGGGAGCGTGGTTATCATATTATTACAATGCTTGGTTTGAAGATAATCCAAAGCACTTACTTTATGAACTTGAACTTTACAAATAGCAAAAGTATCCTTTTATTAAAAAACCTTTAGACACTTTAAAGGAGACGTTCACCTTTGGTGGTCATATAATTCTGGCGCAGCATCTGAATTGAGTCGTATTGCATGTCAATTATTTGGCATATGTATTATGACTGCCTCTGTCAAATAACTTTTTTCTACTATGGGCTTTTTGCATTCTCCATTACAGAATAAACTAAAAGTAAGTTCTATTTGAAATATAAAATTTTATGATTTTAATTTTGTTTAATTATAGGACGAGAAAGTGGTTGCAATGAATCAACTTCATGCCAAAATTTTACGAGTTTATAAAAAAAATTAAAATCCAAATATATTCAATCAAACCATGCTTCCTCTACTTCCTTCTCCTCTACTTCTACCTCTTCTACTTCTACTTCCTTTACTTCTACTTCCTTTACTTCATCTTCTTCTACTTCATCTTCCTCTACTACTATTTTTGCTTCTCTATCATTATTCGGCCAAGACCAAGCACCTAAGAGAACCAATACACATAAGGATATTATTTCAGAAGGTGATTAGGATGTTGTACTTAATGAATGGGAAGAATTACTAATTGATAAAGAGCTGGAAGAAGAATGGGACGACCTTGATGATACTAATATGGATATAGATTTTCTTAATTCAGAAATTCACTCTGCTGAAGATCAAGCTGCTAAATAGGAATTGTATAAATTGTTTTTATCTAATTTACTTTTTTTATTTAATATTTGAATTTATCTGCAAATCATGAGATCACAATATTCAATATAATTTACCTTAAAAAAATTTATCTATATAACTTCAATTTCATATTTATAACCTGATAATGTATTTTAAAAAAAAATCTAAACAGACTTAGAGCTGTTATATGTAAATCGATGGAGTTATTTAGAACATTTTTATATACTCTTGTTAAATAAAATTCTTATTCTTATAACAAATCAAACTAATTAATAAATAAATATTCTATATCTTTTTTATAATAACAAAAAAATTTGCATATTATGCACGGAATTGTAAAGCTGCAGAGTATATTGTAAAAAGGTAAATCACCACCCTGAGATTACTGCAGTTCTTGACATAGCACAAATTCTGAAAATTCTAAGAATCCCAAAAATTTACAGAATTCTTAGTATTAGCATGATCATTAGAATTCTTGAAATAGTTATTATATATTATGATAATCGCTATAATCATTTGTATTTCTAGTATAGTAGAATAGTTGTTATTGTTAGCATTGCTAGAATTATTGGTATTATGTTATGTATGTAAAGAAAAAATATATATCAGAAGACTTTTCCTTAAAATAAAGATAACTCAGTAGAGTTCTAAAACTCAGTTTGGAGTTTGATTTAAAAACCACATAACTTTTGGAGTTCAAAGCTTCGAACTGTATAGTAATAGTCGTAATCTCTAATAAGTTCTTCTTTACTGTCAAAATTATTTGTTGTTCCATTTTCATAATATACCTGTTTGCTCTTGCCCGAAATTTCATACTTCGTATTTTTTGTATTGAGTAATCAAAGAGATAAAGTATAGAAACCCTTATATAATAAATATTACTGATTAAATCAGTGATCGATATAATACATAATTCGATTATATCGATATCGTTAACTCCTTACTAATCATTGCGTGAATACAATAATTTGGCTTAACCAGAAAAATGATTGGCAACGTGCCACAGTATAGCATGTATTCATTTGCCCTGGTTTGTAAATTATGATTATTTGAGTATACATTTCTGGTCTAAGTCACATGTATTCGTTTAGCTAATCATATATAATTGCCCAATATTTATTGCTTTTGATTGGACAATTCAGACACCTTATTTCAGACAGATTTTTATTGTCCAAATTCCATTTATGCCAACTCTGGTAAAATGAATTCAGTAAACTAGATTCTAAATAGCTATTGATATTGTAATATAGGTGCTTGGCTTAACTTAATTTCTAAATATAATAATAATAAATATATTGTCACCAGTTAAGTCAAACAAATATATTACTTGACTTAATATATAAGAGTGGTTAAGAAATATGTTTAAACAATAAAACTAAAAAAAAGCCTAAAAACTAAACAAAAATACTATGAAATAACTAAATAAAAATTAAAATAAATAAATTTACATGATCGTAGAAATCTATACATAGAGCTATCTGACAAAAAAAACTATAAACTAAAATACACTTTAACCTGT